GATCCTCCAGGAGCTAGTTGTGAGCCAACTGACATGGTTGCTAGGAATTGAATTTGGGTCCTCTGGAAGAATGTGCTTTTAACTGATGAGCTATCTCTCCAGCTCTACTTATTTATTTTGTCTGTGTTTGTGTGTGTGTCTGCGTGTCTGTGTGTGTATGTGTGTGTGTATGTGTGTGTCTGTGTCTGTGTGTGTCTGTGTGTCTGTCTGTGTGTCTGTCTGTGTATGTGTGTGTCTATGTGTGTCTGTGTGTGTGTCTGTGTGTCTGTCTGTGTGTCTGTCTGTGTATGTGTGTGTCTATGTGTGTCTGTGTGTGTGTCTGTGTGTGCACAAGTACAGCACATATATAGAAATGTCAAAGGAGTCAATTCCACTTCTGCCTGTGGGTGCTGGGGATCAAACTTGGGTCATCAGGTTTGGTAGCAAGAGACTCTACCCAGCTTAGCCATCTCTCCAGCCCTCATTTTTATTTTTTTATTTAAAATATCTTTATTAGATTTATTTGTGTACGTGTATGTGCATACATGCCATAGCGGACACACACAGAAGTCAGAGGACGTGTGCGAGTCAGTTCTCTCCTTCCACTGTGTGGATCCTGGGGATCAAACTCAGGTCATCAGGCTTGGTGGCAGTTTTATGCACATGTTTATACATACATAAAGTAGAATGTGGTTGGGTGGTGAGCGATGTGTTATTTACACAAAGTGTGGGATTTGGGGGGTTGTGATGTTTAATAATGATTATCAACTTGACAAGATCTAGGCTCACTAGACAAGCCTCTGGGCACACCTGTGGGGCATTATTTAGCCTAGGTTAATTGAGGTGGCAAGATCCATAAATAAATAAATAAATAAATGTGGCAAGATCCATAAATAAATAAATAAATAAATGAATAAATAAATAAATAAATGTGGGTGGTTCCATTCCAGGAGGTCCCTGGCTAAGTAAAAAGGAGAAAACAAGCTGAGCACCAGCATTGGTCTCTCTTGGCTTCCTGACTGTGGCTGCCATGTGACCAGCTGCCTCCAGCTCCTGTTGCTGTGATTTCCCTCCCATGATGCACTGTACCTTCTGTGAGCCAAAATAAATCCTTTCAGCTGTTTTTTGTCACAGCAATGAAACAAGTAACTTTAACAAGTAATAGAGGGGTTAAAGATAGAAGGGCTTGCACAAGGACTGGAAGCCTGAACCCAGCTCCCCAGCAAAACACTCAAGAGGAGGTCACACCCTGGGCCTGTGGTGCAAATACACAGAACCACACCTGGTCCAATGTTCCAGGAAAAGAAAATTGCTCCTTGTATTTCTCAAGCCAGGTATCAATGAATTTTTACAGTTCTCAAGTCATGAATGCCTCAGATGACACATTATTATGAGCCTGGAGGACACATTATTATCCCATTTGACAAATAGGGAAACTGAGGCCTAGGGAATGCAGTGAACTGCCAGAACATTACAGTGAGTTGGTAGAGAACAAGGAACTAGCTGGCCTGGAGTTTTTCCCAGAACACAAGGCAGTGTGTGGAGAGGTGGGGTGGAGGCAAGGGCCACTCAGTGCTAGGACGGTGGACTTTAGTCACCAGGAAAGAAAAAAAAAACAGGAATAACCTCAGGCTGGGCTGGGTGACAGCTGGAAAATTACAGTCTGAAAGAAGCAGGTGGAGCAGTTATTCTCCCACCTCGGAGTCCCCAGAAATTGGATGATCTTGGAGGCTATGATTCTCCCCATCCCCAACATACACTCAGAAGTCAGGAACGGCTTTCACAGTCAGACAGGCCTGAAGCCAAGCCTTGGCTCTCACATTGCTATACTCTGTGAGATCATGGAAGAGTCCTTTGGTCCTCCAGGCCTCTGTCTTCTCATCTGTAAAAACAAGTGCTTATCTTTTTAAATTTTTTATTATTCATTTATTTGTGAGCTTGGGGACATGTGACAGCATGTCACATGTGTGGAGGTCAAAGGATAGGGGTGGGTTCTTCTTCTACCATGTGAGTTCCAGGAGTCAAACTCAGGTCCTCAGGCTTAGCAGCAAGTGTCTTTACCTGATGAGCCATCTCACAGGCCCAGTGATTATCTTTAACTCTGCATTGTTCCAGAGATGCAGAGAATCACAGTCTATGCATCTGGTAGCAAAAACATTTAAAAAGCCTGGCCCCAGCCAACCCAATTCCATAAGTTCCAGCTTTCCTCAGTGCCCTGCAGTGACTGAGAAGCCCCATGCACTCCAACACCTGAGCTTTGACATCAGCATTACAGTGACCACCGGTACTTGTTACAACTCCTGGGTGGTGGCCTCTGCCATCACAGAGCTATTGATACAGTGGGGTTGGAGGGAAGTGTGAGGGAACGCTTTCTCCTTTAGTAAAAGCAAAATATGAATAAATGTTCATGATAAGACTCCAACAACACAGAGCAGAGCCATCTCCTGGTGCCTTCCTCTAGGCCCATACCTCAAGAATCATGCTTGTCCGCTGCTTCTAGGAGTGGCTCCAACATCTATAACCATCATCAAATCCGGCATCTCTGGCACTCTACTGTGTATGATGAAGACCTAGAAATGGAGTTGCCAAACCACAATTATACGTGTATGATCACTTGCAATATGACTAAGTGCTGCCCAAGTGATTGTTGAAAGGTCCCCATGGACATCAATATTCAAATGCCAGCCAGGGAGGGCACCAGCCAATGGCTCAATGAATGGCCTCCATCTTCTCTTCCACTCAATAAGCCTGTCCCCTCACCCTTCACCCACTGTACATTGTCCCCCTCAGACAGGAGGGGATCAGAACCACCTATTGAGGATGACCAGCAGCCTGCCTGACTGTGATAGACCAGCCTAAGGCTTCTCAGGAGAAATGATTCAGCTCCCTCCTCTGCTACTGTGTTTTCTAAACTCTACCAGCTGGCTACACTAATCCAGGTGACAGGAGGCGACACAGTAGGTGTCACTACAGATGTATGGAAAGGCATACATTCACCAAACAACTGCATGCCAGGCTCTGAGAATCTGGAGACACAAGGCCAGCCTCTGCCATGAAGACCACTGACTAATGGGGTACAGAATGTAGACTGGAATGGGATGGCATCAGGTACCTCCAGGAGCCTGCTCCAAAGACCTGGTGCAGGGGGGTTTACAGGAAGCAGCTCTGCCAAGGTGGAGGACTCAGCAGAGACCTGGATGGAAATCCACGCTTTGGCTTATCACCATATCAAGCTGGGGTAGTCTTATCTGAACCCAAAGGAGAAGGTCACTTGTGTCTGCAGCAAGGACACTCGGATGAAATCAAGGACAGCTAGGTCTATCCTGGTACTTGATGTAACCCAGTGCCAGGGGCTTGGTGACAGCCAGGATCAACAAAGCTCCTACTATGCGTCCTGCTGTGTCTATACTTTGTCCAACAAAGAGAGTCTAGAAAATGTCTAAAGCCATTTTCTCTTTTTAAAATTAACTACTTACTAGGGCTGGAGAGGTGGCTCAGCAGTTAAGAGCACTGACTGTTCTTGCAGAGGACCCAGGTTCAATTCCCAGCATCTACATGGTAGCTACAAACCGTCCTTAACTTCAGTTCCGATGCCCTCTTCTGACCTCCGAGCATTGCATGACATGGGTGCACTCACATACATGCAGGCAATACACTCATACACATAAAAATAATAAATAAAATACTTTTTAAAATAAACATCTTTGGTCTGAAGAGATGGTTCAGAAGAGGTTAAGAGCACTGACTGTTTGATTTCTAGCAATACATGGTGGCTAACAAGTTGGTCTCCACAGCTCTGTGATATAATTATCATCAAGCCCATTTAGTATAGAGGTATAGTGAGGTAATAAATAAATAAATAAATAAATAAATAAATAAAATAAAATAAAATAAAATTAGCTACTTTGCATTTATCCATTTGGGATGTGTATGTGTCTATGTGTGTGTGTGTGTGTGTGTGTTTGTGTGTGTGTGTGTGTGTGTGTCTGTGTCTGTGTCTGTGTCTGTGTGTCTGTGTCTGTGTGTCTGTGTTGTGCATATGTGCCACAGAGCACCAGTGGAGGTCAGAGGACAACTTGCAGGAGTTTGTTCCCTCTGCCATGTGGGTCTAGGGATTCAATTCCAGTCCCCAGGCTTGGCAGCAATTCTTACCAGCTGAGCCATTTTACCCACCTCTATGTTTTTTTTTATCAGAGGATAAGACTTTTAGTACTGTTGGGGCTGGAGAGATGTCTCAGCAGTTAAGAGCACCAGCTGCTCTTGCAAAAGACCCAGGTTCGAATCCTAGCACCCACATGGCAGCTAACAACCATCCATAGGGGATGGTTCTAGGGGATCCACAACTTCTGTCCTCTGTGGGCACTGTACCATACAGGTGCACTTACATACATGTAGGCAACACACACACACACACACACACACACACACATTAAAAAAAAAAAAAAAAGATTAAATTATTCTTGGTTTCCCAAGGGGAGAACAGAGACCCCCCTAAAGAAGAGGAAAAGCACCTTGCTCAGTGTGGAAGACTGAGACCAGGGAACAGTCTCTGCAGTGGGCAGGGCATGTGATGTTGCCAGACTTTAGTCCCAGCTCTTTGAGGACAGAGGCAGACGGATCTTTGTGAGATCAAGGTCAGCTTGGTCTACGCAGCAAGTTCCAGGTCAGTCAGAACTACATAATGAGACCAGATCACAGAAAAAAAAAAAAAAAAAAAAAGAGGCTCAGGGAGGGAAAGTGATTGGCCTGAGGTTGCATAGCAGGTTAAAAACAGACCCTGGTCCTTCAGGCAGGCTCTTCCACCACCCACGGTTGCCCATGCCCATCACCCCGAGGGCCTTTTCACCCAGGTGCCCCGGGGGCGTTGCACTTTCGTCCGCATGGCTACACCTCAGACCTGTTTCCATCTGTCGGGTGGGCACGAAGCGAACGGGGAGGGCGGCTCCGGGCACCCAACTGCCGCAGGGGCGGGGCGCTGACTCACAGGGCGGTCCCCGGGGTCGCCCAGCCGGTCCGACCGGCTTCAGCCGGCTCGCGCGCGGAGCTCCGGGAAGGGAGGCCAGCCGGGTCCCGGCTCCGGCGGGAAGAGGAACGCAGACGGCGGGGGAGCAAGATGGGAGCCGGGCCCCGGTAATCCGGGCCCTGCGACCGGCCTGGAGCAACATGTGTCTGCGCATAGGTGAGCCGAGTCGGGGAGTGGGAGCCAAACCCAGGGCCCAGCCGCCTGCTCAGTCCCGAGCCACTTTCCTCTCTGAGCCTGAGGTTCTCCAAGAAGGGGGCGTGGGGGGGGGTGAGAAGCTACACTTCCCGCAGGCTAGGCAGGTACTCTACCATTGAACTACACCCCAGCCTTTTAAAATTTTAAGACAGCAAAGTTGCTCAGGCTGGCCTTGAACTCACTACGTCGCTCACTCTGACTTTGAACCCTGGATCCTCCTGCCTCAAGCTCCGGAGTAGCTGGGACTCCAGGTCTATACCCCTAGGCCCAGCTCTGGGTGTTCTCTTGATGTGCTCAGTTGCACCTCTACCTTTTGGCCCTACTCTCCTTTCTTGTCAAGGGGTGCACCTAGGCTCAGAACCCCCAGGTGTGAGAAGGGATGCTGGAGGGAACAGTGAAAGGGGCCTCAGTCCTTAGCCTTGCCAAGAGTCCCACTTCCATTCCCTCCCACCCAGGCGGGCTGGAAAGAGGAGAGAAGCCCCTTGCAAACAGGATCACTGACAGCAGTGACTGTCACCAGTCCCCACTCCCAAGGCATCTCTGCTGTTCTTAGGCATCAGACACCTGTTTCCTTCTATGTAAAATGGGAAATTAGGAGTAGGATGGAGTTAGCTCCTCATAAGAGCTTAGCTCAGTGCCAAGCACATTGCCAAATGCTCCCAGCATGGTAGCTGAGAAATAAAGCCAGGAACTTCTCCAAAGCTCTCCATCCCTGCTGGGGCCATCCTCCTGTGTGACCAAAGCCTTGGTCCCTGATGGATGCTGTTACTGAGCCCAGCCAGAAGCCCAGTGGTGTCTGGGCTGCTACTGGGTGGACAGGTGGGTGGATGGGGTTGGGTGGGTCAGGCCCCTGAAAGGAGGCTGCCATTCCCCTCCCTTCCTGTTTGTCCAGCTGTTCATCTTCACAAAGTCATTCCAGTTCCCTGTGCCTGTTCAGCCCATAATCTGTCCTCTGCTCCTGCTAGACCTGGTCTAGCCCAAGGGCTTTGCAGGCTCTGGGGAGACCTCAGACCAGTTAGGCTAACTCCTGGTCTTTCTACCCAGGGAATCCAGAGCCCAGAAGGGAAGAGGTCCTAGGACCTCAAGTCTGCCTCCCCTCCTACCTGCTCCTCCCAAGTGTGTGTGTGTGTGTGTGTGTGTGTGTGTGTGTGTGTGTGTGTACTAATGAATTTAATTAGGGTTGCTTACAGGAGCATGAATGGGGCATTATTTACAGGAGCATAGGAAACTTACAGTGGCCACACCACTGAAGAAAATCTCCTTTTTCTTCTTTTTCTTGTCTTCTCTCTCTCTCTCTTTTTTTTATAGATAGACAGATAGATATACTGTGTGTGTGTGTGTGTGTGTGTGTGTGTGTGTTTGAGACATGGTCTCCCTGTAGCCCCAGCTGGTTTGGAACTCCCTATGTAGAACAGGCTGGCCTTGAACTCACAGCGATCCACCTGCCTCTACCTCCCAAGTGCTGGGATTAAAGGCGTGTGCTACCGATTTTAGGCAGGGTCTCTATAGCCCAAGCTGGCCTGGAACTCACTATGTAGCCCAAGGTAGCCTTGAATTTGCAGTATTAGCCCCTTGAGTGCTGAAACTACAGGCATGAGCCACACTCCTGACTCCTTGCAATTGCCCCCAGCACATCCACCTTCAGTATTTGTTGTTTTTTGTTTTTTGTTTTCTTTCTTGTTTTCACTCAGCTGCAGAGCTCACAGGTAGGGAAGAGGATCAACCCTCTGCCACAGGTGGGGAAACTGAGGTTTAAAAAGGGATTCAGGGGCTGGAGAGATGGCTCAGTGGTTAAGAGCACTGACTGCTCTTGCAGAGGACCTGGGTTCAATTCCCAGCACCCACATGGCAGCTACGAACTGTCCTTAACTCCAGTTCCAGGAGAATCTGAAGCTCTCTTCTGACCTCTGTGGCATTGCACGACACGGGTGCACTCGCATACATGCAGGCAATATACTCATATACATAAAAATTTTTTAAAAAAAAAAAAAAAAGGGATTCAAAGTCAGAGCACATTGGGAGCAGGAGAAGACCACACCATATTCTTCCAGCCTCATAGAGCTGGCTAAACTGACCTGCAGGAGCAACATGGAACGTGTCCTTGAGGGCAGGGCTAAGAGTCATGGGAGACACAGGAGAGAGCTGCTCTGATATAACCCAAGCTGCCAAGGAGGGTTCCCTGCCCTAGGAATGTAATGACAGGGTTGAGCAGGTGTCTGGCCACTAAGAATTTGACCCCGGCCCCACCTAAGCACCCACACACACCTAAGAGTCCCCCAGAGATGCCCCACTCTCCCCTCTATACATGGACCTTCTTCCACACTCAGAAACAACAACTTTTCTCCTTCTACAGAAGAAATGGAGACTCAATGGCTCTCAGTAGTTCAGTTCAACAGCTGCAGGTTGGGTACCCATGTGTGCTGGGCTCTGTCTATCAAACTGACTACTGACCCCTGCCCAGTGCACTGTGGACTCCTTGGGGCCTGGATATTATCTGTCAGGTTTATAAGTGTCCCCAGGCCTGGCAGGGGCAGGTACTCAAGGAACATTTGTGTAATGAACACATGAATGGGTGAATGAATAGATCCATGAGAAGCTCGGTGGAGGGATCATACTAGAACCCTGCTACTCAAGAGTTAACAAGGACAGCTGCCCTTTAAGTATCACATGTGTGCTTTTCCAACCTCAGAGTTCAAGGACACTGGCACGGCAACCGTGAACCCCTTTACAAATGAGGAATCAGGCTCAGAGAAGACAAGTTACTGGCCCCAAGTCACCCAGATGTAGATTTATGACCCAAAGATGTAGACTGACCCCAGAACCTAGGGGTCATGAGGAGGAGCCTCACCATGGTCCTGATATGTGTCCCCACAGGCAGCCTGAGTTTGGGTGACTTCCGGAAGGTGCTGATGAAGACAGGTCTAGTGCTGGTAGTGTTGGGCCATGTGAGCTTCATCACAGCCGCCGTGCTGCATGGCACAATGCTGCGCTTCGTGGCTGCCCCCAGCGATGCTGTGGCTCTGCAGTACTGCGTGGTGGACATCGTCTCGGTCACCTCTGCCATTGTGGTATGGCTTGGCTGGGAGGCTAGCAGGAGGGAGGTGCTTGCAAGGTCTTCGATGGGTCCCCACCAGCGCCCCAAGCACTAACCCTAATACACCATTTACCAACCATGAGGACATTCAAACTCTCTTTGCCCCAGTTTTCTCCTCTGTAAAATGACGTGAGAAGAGTGCACAGGTACCTCAGAGGTTTCTGGTGAATACTGGATAAATAATCCACAGAAGGTGCTTAACTTAGTGCCTGGCACAAAGTTAGTGTAAACTGCCATGACAAATATTTAAGGCCCTGTGGAACAGAAGGGAGGAACCGTCAGCTTCATAGGGAGGATCCAGAAGTTTTCGCAGAGGTGGAAGTCTCTGAGCTGGGTATTGATGGGTCAGGAGGCATTCTCATTGAACTGCAATTAACAACCCAGGTATGTGGCATGCTGGGGCCAGCAGGCAGGAGAGGACACCATAACACATTCATGTTTAGACTGCAGCAGGTGCAAATGTGTGGAGCTGAGAATGTCTGAGATCTGTTCTGGAGACACTGAGCAAAACAATTTGACAGGCGTTTAGCACTAGCATGGATCTATAGGAACCACTTGGTAAATCCTGCTGAGCTGGATGCTGCCCTTTTGATGAATGACTGAACAAAGGAACCTGGTATTCTTGGGTTTATAAAGCTCCTCTGTCTACCAGCTGAGGCAGCTGCAGACTTGTGGGGAACCTGCTCGTCTTTGGGGGTCCTGTCACCTCTTGGCTGAGGAATTTCTCTCACCAAGCTGGTGAGAAGCAGCTCAGGCAGCATGCTGGCCTGAGGGTTTGGTGACTGTAGATGCACTGGCAGTGAGATAGGGCCCTGCTGTGTTCTAATCATTGTCTATTCTGCTCAGAAGCCATGTGAGGAAAGCACAAGAAGGTGTTAGCCCAGGCTCAGGAAGCCCACAGGTATGGGCCCTGGGATGGACTGCTTCATCTTTGCCTTCCTTTCCCCAGGAAATCCTCACCATTCCTAGCAACATGGGCCTGTTACTACCTTCATTGCCTCAAGACTTAGGGATGCACCCAATCTCTTGTTGATGCAAAGAAGCCTTGGATGTTAACACCAAAGCTAGTGTCCTTCTTGTGAGCTCATCCCACAGAGAGGGGCTCCCCCAGAGAGGTTGAGGCACTCTGTTGTGGCTGTACAGTGAACTAAGGCCACTGCTGGACCCTTACGGTTCCATGTCCATTGTAAAAAGGGAACATACCAAGGAAAACAAGCTAAACAGAGCTACGGTGATCTGGAGGGCAGCTGTTGGGCTAAACAGTGCACAGGTGGTCCTGTCTCAGGCTAAGGGAGGTTGGGAAACAGGAGGAAGGGTTTATGTAAGAGATGAGCAGGACAGGTGTTCCTGGAGAGAGGACGCTCTGTGGGCAGCATCAAAGCAGCTAGGTACAGGTGCCCACATCCAGGGCGATGAGAGAGGACAGTGGCCCAGGGCAGGCTTGAAAAGCTAGTAGGGTTTGGTCCAAGTCATTGAGAGCCTGGATAACTTCAAATATTCCTAGGGATTTGAGTTTTGTGGTACTGGGGATTGAACCAGGGGTTCACACATGCTAGGTAAGCATTCTATCACTGAGCTACATCCTCAGCCCTCTCCTAGGGAGTCTGAATTCTGTTTCATAAAGTGTCTTGTTGTCTCTCTGGCTGAGGTAGGGCCTCACTATGTAGCCTTGGCAGGTCTGGAACTTGATGTGTAAACCATGCTGGCCTCAAACTTGCAGTAATCCTCCTGCTTCTGTCTTCTTAGTGCTGGGATTTCAGGCATATGTTACCACACCTGACGTTAGTTCCTTGTGAGTTCATTTCTTCCCAGATCTTTTCCATTCCAGGGAGCTATGTCACATGTACACTGTGACTTTGCATCCTCCCTGCCATGTCCCTGCAAGCCTAGGATGCACAGAACCCTGTTTGAGTATTACAGCGCTAGGCAGTGGGGAGTCATAGACAGTTGTAGGCAGGGAGTGGTGGTTTTAGAAGTATCCAGTGCTGGACCAGGAGGAGGCAAAGCCTCTGTGAAGATGGAGCTAATGAGGCCAAAGCTAAGCATGGGGTAGGGGTGGAGACTGCAGGCCTAGGTGTGACTGGTGAGCTCTTTATCCCAGTGTGGTCCTGACCCTCCCAGCTCTCTTCCCAAATGGGCTCAGATCTGATTCAAGCCTCTTCAACAGGTTATCATAACGGGAATTACAGCTGTTGTGTTGTCAAGATACCTTCCTAGCACCCCCTTGGTATGTGGCACTTCCTGGGATGTGGCTGTGGGATGAACCAACAGCCACCTGGGGACCTGAGCTGCTCAGAAGGGGTGTGGCAACCAGGGAGACCAGAGCTACTTCTGGGGGACCAAGCATGATGTCCACTGACCAGTGCCCTTCCTACCCAGCGCTGGACCGTGTTTAGCTTGAGTGTGGCCTGTGCTGTTCTCTCTCTGACCTGTGCCCTTGGACTATTGTCTTCAATCGCCGTGACTTTTGCCACCCAGGGCAGGGCACTACTGGCGACCTGCACTTTTGAGAGCTCTGAATTCCTGACACTCACACCTGACTGTCCCTTTGACCCCACACGCATTTACGTGAGTGCTTCAGCCTAGGATGGGATGGGAAGGGCTCCTGGCATCTACCTGTACCTCTAACCCTAAGCTCTCTGCACCCCCTGCACCTCCACAGAGCTCCAGCTTGTGCCTCTGGGCCATCTCTCTCATGTTCTGTGTGGCAGAGAGTGCGTCTGCTGCGCGCTGTGCACAGCTGGTACACAGGATGCTGGGACTGAGGCCCTGGTGGGGGAAAAGCAGCCACCACACAGTAAGTCCCTTTTGTTATCCTGATTCCTTGTTTCCTGGGAGCCCCTGCTGGGGATTCCTGGCTAGCCAGCTCCACCCCTCTGTATGGGGCAAAGTTTTCTCCCTACCACCGAAGGGCTCAAAGGTCCAGAGAGGCCAGATCTGCCAGCTAAGTCACTTAGCTGATGGTTGGTTCTCCCAATCTTGAGGGGAAGCAAGAGGCTTCTGGGCTTTAACAAGAAACACTCAGGGATCTATCTTGGTTCTTAAGTGGGTGATAGGGATGCCTCCTTCCATTGCCCATTGGCTCCTAGTCCTCCCCACCTCAAATTTGGGGGTATCCTGGAGGAGACTCCAGTCCAGACCCAGTAGACCAAGCAGCTTCCTGTGTCTCTGCAGATGCAAGACAGCCCGGAGCCCCTAGACAGCCACGATCTACTGAGCTGCACCGGCTCTGTACAGCCGATGCTCTGAAAGCTGGCATCTCACAGAGCCATGGCCGCTGAGACCTGCAACCAACTCTGCACTGACCAGTGCCCAGATGGCCGTGGAGGCCCGGATGGATCCAGGATTTCTGGCACAGGCTCAAGAGGGCTCATTGGACCCTTGGGGACCTGGGAGAGGGTTTTCAATGCCCTCCCCTGGCCACCTAGCCCACTGCACTGAAACGAGACTTTATTCTGAAGTTATTAAAAAGAACAGAGATGCTCCGTGGCTGCATGCAGAGGGGGATGGGGCTCGGCCAGGGGCCTGCACGTCTTTCCACACATAATGTTGTGGAGGGGCTCTGCCCGTGTGCCTGTGGGCCTGTGTGTGGGAGCGGGGCAAAATACAGAATACAGGGGGGTAGATTTGTGGTCTGTGTGGCTGGAAGGGTTCTAAAAAGCAGGCAGGGTATGGGGACCCCCAGCTGGAATCCTGGGAGGCCTTCCATTTGTGTTATGGCCTCTAGCCAGCAAGAGCTGGAGTGGAAGGGTTGGGGCTCCTCTGCAGGGAAGTAGCTCAAGGAACCCCTTCCTCAAAGCCCCACAGCCCAGAATCCTCCTCATCGCCCCTTCAGGCAAAGACTCCTCACCTGCGCAAGGCTCCCCACTACCCCCACACTGAGGACCACCCAAGGGGAACCTCCCTCCTGTTGAGGAGGGGTCTCAGGGATGTGGGTGGGTGGAAGGTGATCCAGATGTCTGAGTAAAGGGGGCAGAATCCGGACAGACCAAGCCAGAGCCTCGGTAACCGTTGCCTGCAGGAGAATCTGCCTCTAGGACTGTGGGATGCTAACGGCTGTTTTGCTTAGTCCCTTCCTTGCAGGGTTCGCTTCTCCAGAGCCCCCAACGGTACAGACCCGGGATGGGGGTCCCCAGTCTGGCCCCCAGCCTGGATAGACACGAGGGAGAGGAAGCTGAGAGCCGGGAGGCCGGTGAAGGCAGGGAGGCAGGCGCTGGCTCCTGCGTGCTCAGAACTGGGAGGCGCTGCTCGGGTCGCACTGCAGCAGGCGCACGATCGACGGGTCGCTCTTGGCCCCGCGGATGAACTCTTCCAGGGACAGCTTGCCTGCGGGGCGAGGGGAGCTGTGATGGGGAGAAGGCGGCTGCAAAGCCGGGGAGGTGGCACGGGTGAGGAAAAGAGGGAGCCGCCCGCCGGCCCGGCCCGCCCCCACCCCTCACCGTCATTGTTTGTGTCCATTTGGCGGAAGATTTTCTCAGTTCTCTTTTCCGGGGTCGATTCGTCCTCGGGCATCTTCATCACGGACGAAACCATCTTGTAAATGGCCTGGGAAGGGGTCGGGGATGGCAGGAAGTGAGAAAAGCTAGCCTAAGCGCCTATCCAGATCTCTGTCCCTGTAAACCACAGGCTCACACTCGCTGGCCAGCCAGGTAAAGAAGTGGGTCTGGGCAGGCTTTCCAGAAGAAGGGCTACTGGAGCGGGCCCTGGTCCAGGTCCCTTGAAGGACTAGGTGGGAATTGCTGATGGAGCTGATAAGCAAACCCACCCCTGAAAGCTCCTGGCGGCGCCACGAATTTACAATGCAAGGAGTCTAGAGAGACAGAAGACATCAAAGCCCAGATAGCAAAGAGCTAGAACACCAGATTTAGGTGCTCTTTATCTGGGATGTAGGTTTGAGAATTAGGACCAGGTTAGCGGTTCCGCTCAGTGACCGACAGGGGACGCTAGGCTGAGGTGCGGCCTGTGCCCTGCAGGGGGCGCAGGATAGCGTCGAGGTAGCTGGAGCCCAGAAGGGGCGGGAACGTTATGCAAATTAATGCAAATGAGCACCTGCCACCGGGGCCGGGACAGCCTGAGCTCTGCTGGGCTGAGGGCGGCTGCTGCCACGTGTAGGAGCTCCCGAGGCAACCCGAAGGAGGGCTTTTGTGCTAAATGTACAGAGCATGTAGTGCTCTGCTTGTGGGATGGGGCTAAGTTTCTGCTCCCTAGAACTCAAGAACCATCAGACCAGTCGCCTCGATCTTCCAACCAGTGACACCTCCAAAAAGCCTTCTTTCCTCTCGCCCAAGCCATAACCCTCCCAGCCCCTTCGGGTCCAGCTTTGTCTCTACGCTACTCTATCCTGGTCACTTTCCTTCAGTTCTGTCCCCATGCTGTCTCTGAAAGCTCTTTCCAAACAAATCTCCACTGCTGTGTCCCCAGCCCAGCAGGCCGCCCCCTCGCTTCCGTCGCACAGGCCTCCCTCTCCAGGCCCACCGTGCACCGGTTCCTTCTGGATGCTGCCCCACGCTCCTTCTGCTGCCTCCCACTCCTTCTTGGGGCTCAGTTTATGATGCTTTCCCAGCAAGACCTTCTCTGGTCCAGCCTAGGTTAAGGGCACATCTTGCCTTTTCCTTTGAGGACATAGTTCAGGAAGTAATGACATCCCTAGGGCATTGTTCCTAGGCCCCACCATTCTGATAAGAACTGTGAATTCTACCTATTTCCAGGATTCCAGGATCCCAGCACAGTACTTTGGCATATGGCAGGGAACTCTCTGTTTAAAGGTCATTGGCACCTCCCACCACTGTCTGTACCAAATCCAAACCATTTGCTTTTGACATTCAAGACACTTCACAAGCTGTCCACCGCTGTCCTCGCCACTGTCCGTCCAGCCACTCTGAAGGGATAATTCTACCACAACTGAACACTCTTGGGCCTTTTGGATTCCCCAACACTTACAGCCTCTGCTTGAAATAATATGAGCTCGCAATTATCAGGCAACTACTATGTGCCAGGTCCTACGAACAAGACTTCTAAACCTCACATCATTGATACCTGAGAAGCAGGCATCAAATCTTCGTTTTCCAGGTAAGAAACCAAGGCTCAGGAAGGGAATTGATGGCAGGCACTAGATCAGAGAGCCAGCTCCCTCTTAGCTGCTGGATGGATGCTTGAACAATGTGGAGTGGACAGCAGGGGCTCTGGAGTGGCATCCTGGTCCATCACTCACTTGCTCTTGCTGTGTACTCTTGGATAAGAACTTAGCCTCTGTGTGCTAGGTTTTCATCTGTAAAATGGAAGTACTGTATCTACCTCATTGGGTTTGTCTAAAGGAATAAGATAAAATAATTGGAATACCAGGCTGGGCATGGTAGTACATGCCTTTAGTCCCAGCATTAGGGAAACAGAGGCAGGCAGATCTCTGTGAGAGTGAGGCCAGCCTACATAGCAAGTTCCAGGCTAGCTGGGACTACCAGGAGACCCTGTCTCAGAAAACAAAACAAGGGGCTGGAGAGATGGCTCAGTGGTTAAGAGCACAGGCTGCTCTTGCAGAGGGCTGGGGTTTGATTCCCAGCACCTACATGGTGGCTAACAACCATCCAAATTTCAGGTCCAAGGGACCCAATGCCCTTTTCTGACCTACACAGGTATTGCACAACATGGATGCACTTACATGCATGTAGCCAACACACTCATACACCTAAGATAAAAATAATAAAAATTTTTTAAAAAACAAAATAAATAAAAAACTGGAGTAGTAGCTGCTGGAGCAAGTGGTAAGCAAACATTGACTTATATTGTTGTCACTATTCATCCACTGCATCCAGGGTTTTCAGTCTCCTGGACTCCCAGATGTTGATTTTATATCCCTGTCACTGAGCTGGTCAGTGTGGCCTGCTCTTTAATCTTACCTATCAGAGTGGGAGCCCCAAGAAGCACAACCATGTCCTCCCCACTGTACTGACCACCCAGTGTATGACTGGGCCCAGAACTGAGCAGTGACTTAAGAGAGTGACCACTCTCTTTGTGACAACCTTTCTGGACCTCCTAATTAATTGTCTGGAATTGTTCACTCAGAGTTTCACTGGAGCCTACTTGTCATTAATCAGGCACTGGGGTTCACAGAACTCTGTCTGTACCAACTGTCTGGAGCCTCTGGGCTGTTGTAAAGGAAGTCAGAGCCAAGAAAGCAGAAGCTAGAGAAAAGGGGGTCCTGGAGATTCCCAAAGAGTGGGCTGGCTTCACCACTGCACTGGGCACAGTGACTTCAGCGAGGCTGAAATTTGCCAATATACACCAGTGCAAGAGGGAAAACGAGCATTCTTCTGGATTTGTTGGTATCTAGATGGTCCCTAAATGATCCTGAACCATTGTACTTACTTTGACCCTTACATCATGACCCCTAGAACCGCCCCCCCCCATCATCCTTCCACTAAAGAAGAGTGCCTGGTTTACAGGCATCTGGGACAAACACTGAGGCAATAGGAATAGAGTGTGCATCACCTCCCAAGGCAGCTATTCTATTCAAACTAGAGACTGAAACCCACATTCCTAACAAGAGGAGCTACCAGTGGGACCGGGTGAGTTGAAAGAGGTATCTGTTCATAGAACTGAGGGACTGGAAGGAAAACAATGCAGAGATGCAGAGGGCAGGGCTCATGCAAAGCTACGCATTACTAAGGACACATTTCGGGGATTCTGAAAAGGCCATTCTAGCCAGTGTAGAAGATGTATGGAGAAGAAAATAATGAGTGACAGTCATTAACATTCACTGAGTACCAAATATTAGCCCTTCCTAGAACCACCATCTCCCTTGTTCCCTGTGAGAGATTTTGGGAGCAGGGGCTTAACCCCCCACACACACATATATCACCACACATACTGTTGGTAAATAATGCTATAAAGGCTCGGGGGAAAGTGGGAAAGGGCCAGCAAGATGGCTTAGTGGGTAAAGGCCCTTGCTGCCAAAACTTGTGAGGTTAGATCCCGGGGAGCCACATGTGGAAAGAGAGAACTGACTTCTACAAGTTATCTTCTGACTGCCACATGTGAACTAGGCATGCAAACCACTCCCCACAAAAATAAACAAATGCAATAAAAATATTTAAGTAGGCAAGGAGCTAGATGGATAAAGTAGAAACAGGCCTCTGATTGTCTTCAACGCTGGGCTAAGGGATGGGTGCTGTGGAAGGTTTTTTGAAATAAGTCTAACATGTTTTAGCCCAAGGAAGGCTATGTAGGTACTTGGTACTCAGTGAATGTTAGGGACTATCAGTCATTATTTTCTCTTTAAACTTGTACTAAGATACTCAAAGTCCCTACGTCTCCTCGTGCAGTAGGCATCACTAGCACAGTTCCCATTTTACAGATGAGCAACCTAGGAGTTCCAGCCAGCTCCAGAATTGGAAGTTTCATCTCCTGGTTAGAAGTTCAGAACCTTCACAAAAAGCAAGTAGTGACCAGACTGAGCTTAGCCCCACTTAGATACCATGTGACTTTGAGCAATTCACTCTACCTGAATCTCATGGGGTTACTGTAAGAATGCACTGAGCTCAGGGATGTAAGAACCTCGCTCAGTACTGGGCTCTGGTGGTACTTTATCAATTAACTAGAAGGTGGCTGGGGGTCCAGAGGGAGTGTGGACATTAGGGCCAGGTGGCCTACTCACAGGCTGTGAAGTATTGAGCAAGTGCCTTTTCCTCTCAGAGCATGTTTCCTCCTCAGCAAATGAGGATCGAGAAAACATTACTTGTGGGTCCAGGATGAAACTCAGTGGTAGAACATTTGCCTAACAGACATAAGGCTCTGCGTTTGGTTGAAGCACTGCACATAGATAAGTGGATGAAAATGAATGCACATGCTGGGCGTGGTGGCACACGCCTTTAATCCCAGCACTCAGGAGGCAGAGGCAAGCAGATCTCTGAGTTCAAGGCCAGCCTGGTCTACATAGTGAGTTCCAGGACAGCTGGGGCTACAGGGAGACCCAGTCTCAAAAAGACAAAAAAAAAGACAAAAAAGAAAATGAATGCATACTGAATGAATGAATGAATGAATGAATGAGTGAGTGAGTGAGTAAAGCTAGGTATGGCAACACACACCTATAAGCCCAGCACTCAGGAGGCTAAGGCAGGGGGATCACAAGCTCAAAGCCAGCCTGAGTTATATAGTGAGACTTGTCTCAAACCAATCAAACCAAATATAGCTTGCATGTACCACACAGAAAGGTCATGACGTGAAAGACAAAGTAAAACAAGGAGCTATTCCAGTTTAAAGGAAAACAAAACACAATAACAAGATTCAATGTAGGATGCTAGACCAATACCAAGAATGCAACAAAGAGACAGTGGGCAAACCTGGAATATGATCCGTGTGTCAGATAATAGCATCGTTTCTATGTTAAGTATCTTGACTTGGAGCATCACATTATGGGTTATATGAGAATGTCCTTATTATTAGGAAATACATCCTTCACCTACGGGTTAAGGGTCAATGTTGAGAATAGTCAGAAAGCACGTGTGCGTGCATGTTCACACAGACACAGACACACAGACACACACACACACACACACACACACACACACACATACACACACGGAGATAAAGCAATGCAGCCAAACACTAGCTGGTGGCTGGTGAATGTGGGCTAAGGGCGCATGGGAAATTTCTCAGTTTTTCTTTCTTTCCTTTTTATTTGGGGTAGGGTGGAGTGGGGAAGTGAGACAGTGTCATATTGCCCACTGGCCTCCAACTCCTTATGTAGCTAAGGCTGGCTTTGAATTCCTGATCCTCCTGCCTGCTACTTCCACAGAAGTTGCAGCTTTCAGTTTTTCTTTAAATGGAAAATTATTTCATTCTAAAGGACTTTGTCAATGAACTGGAAAGACTGTCTCTGCTGCTGACCAGGTCTATTGAGAGGTTAAAAGGGATGTTACATGCCAGCTGCTGGGTCTGGTACTGAGGGGTCAGGACCAGGTGGGGGCCCACCTGTACAATCTCGAGCATCTCCTCTCGGCTGATATAGCCATTGCCATCCAGGTCATACATGCTGAAGGCCCACATGAGCTTCTGCTCCAGGCGGCCACGGGAAGTCACGCTCAGGGCGATGATGAACTCCCGGAAGTCAATGGTACCATCGCTGTTGGTGTCAAAGGTGCGGAAGACATGCTCGGCGAACTTGGAGGCGTCGCCATAGGGGAAGAAGTTGGCATAGATCTTCTTGAACTCATCTACATTAAGGATGCCAGTGGGGCAGTCCTTGAGGAAGCCCTTGTACCACTCCTGCAGCTCCAGCTCTGAGAACTCTGTGTTCTCCCGCAGGTCCTGTAGCATCTCCGGCCGCAGCTTGCTGTTTTGCTTGCCCATGGTGGCAGAGCCAAGTCCCACCTGGGTCCCCCCAAGAGGGTCAAGGGACAGAGAGCAGTGGTTATGTCCTCTCGGTCACTTGACACCACGCCAGAAACAAGCTACCCCAGACACTCCTTTGACCCAGGAAGAGAGAGGCACTGGCCCAAGATCACACAGCCTGCACGCAGGCACCTCTCTGTATGGCTTCCCCAGTCCTTACCTGTCTGGAGGATAGACCTGGAGAGAAAGGGCGGGCTCATGCCTACAGAAGCCTCTCCCAGCACCAGTGCCAGTTCTTCCCAAATGCACACTGTCACCCTCCCAAGGGGAAATCCCGGGATTAGCACCATTTTCTATGTGAGAAGGCAGACTCAGAAAAGTTAAAATGACCCGCTTCAGGTCACACAGCCACTGCCTGGTAGAGCTGACCCCCAGAGCTTCCCAGGGAGATGCAGAAAGACTTCCTGGTCCTTCTTTCTAGCTCCTGCCCCTTCACTGTTTCCCAGATGTTTGCTTATCCCAAAATGCACTTGCAGCCCAGTCACTGTCCTGCTCTCTTCCTGCACATGTGCCCAACAAGAGGCAGCACAAGAAGGCATTAGCCTGGGCCCCAGAGTTAGATCACCTGGGTTTGAATCCTGACTTTGCTTCTTATCAGCTAGGTGACCTTGGGTAATTTCCTTAATCTCTCTGTCTCATCTGCAAAGTGGGGTTAATAGCACTTACCTTACAGGGTTGTTGTGAGAATTAAATTAGTTAATACTTGTGAGAACTTAGAACCATGCCTATATAGGTAAACTCTACATACATGTTAAATGAGTCAAAATTATTTACCTGAACCCAGATACTACAAAAATCATGCACAATATGCAAATATTGTATCCCGGCACACGTAATGCCACTCAGATCATAAAAATCTACAGACCAGGTTCCATGCCATTCACATACCAGCCCACACCACACATGGGTCACCATGCCCCCCCCACAAGATTCCCTCTACCCCACAATTCACATACATTGACACATGGCACCATGCACAACTCCCATACACCGTACATCAAAGACACACCAGCCCACGACCCCACACATGTCTCACACATGCCATTACACGCCAACTCAAATGCCGACACCTCTCACATGGCCAGTTGCACGTGGAACCTTCAGGCATCCTTGTCATTTTTCTTTTTTTCTTACCTGGGGTGCTGCTATGTCCCAGGAGAGGGAGCTACGGTCCTTCAAAAACCTGATGGGGGCCCTTTACCCCAGGAGCTCTACCTAGCCCATCCAACCCCTCCCTCAACATTTGCGTTTTATCTGGTTGTAAAAGGACCTCTGGGGCAGGGGTTAGAGTGTGAGGCTGAGGGCAGGCAATGGAGGGGAAGCAGTCAGGAAGTCCTAGGCATGAGTGTAGGGGTGTGTGCAAGTGGGGCCTGAGCTTGGGGATAACAGTGAGAGGGTGAGGAGGGTTCCTTGTATATGAACGTGCATGAAGCTCTATGCACATGTGTGTGGGCTCATGTCGAATGCATGTGCTCACATATGATTTGAACCCCGGGTTCTGCACTGCATTTGTCTCCTGGTGTGTTTCTGTCCATGTCTGCCTGTGGGTTCTATATGCGTTTGCTCAGGCATGCACCTGTCACAATGAGAGAGGAATGTGCCCAGAGGATGTGAGGGACCTGTGTGCATTTTAGGCAATGTGTCATGCATGCTTCTGTAAGTTGGTGCCCCCTCCTTTCTAGATCAGCTTCTTCTGCCCCAGGCTGAGGAGCCACGGAACAAGTGTGTGGGAAGGGACTGAGAAAATGCGTAGGGCTGAGCAGGGGAGTGTGTCCCTCATCCCCTCCTTGAGGTCCAAGGAACTGGGTCAGCGGGGCGGGGGCAGAGAGATGCGCAGGGCAGGATTGCTCCTCCGGTGCCCCTTCTTCCTAGCCACCCTCGGAATTGTCCCTCCCAGTTGGAAGAAGAGTCTGTTATCTCCGCAAAGACCCCCCAGTGCCCAAAATAGGCGGAAGCTCCCAGCTCGATCTGAGAAACCCTCCCTGATACCCCTTCCAAGCCTCCCCCGGCTCTGGCCCCGAGCCCTCGCCTCCATGCTCTCCGCACTCGGAGAGCGTCCAGCTCGAGGTCCCTCCTGGAGGAGGCGCCCTGGACGGCGGGCTAGCGACTCCCCGGAGCCGGCTACTCGGCGGTCAGGACCCTGGAGAGCGCCCCGTGGTCCTGGGGAGAGCCCGGGCTCGCTGCGCCCGGGGTGGGAGGAATCCCACGAGTGGCTGGGAGCCGCGGGCTGGGGAGCCCTGGACGTGGGCTCCTGCCCCCGGGGATGCCCACCCCGCATCCCCGGCCCCGGCCGGAGCAGCCCCCACTCACCCAGCGACGCCGAGACACCGACTGCGCAGGGAAGGCGGCGCTGCTGCGGCGCGCGGCGGCAGAGGCGGCCGGAGGGGCGGGCGGGACTGCGAGGGAGACGCCCCGCAGCGTTGGCCCGGAGCCCCTCCCCTGGGGGGGGTCCCCGCCAGCCGCTAGGCTCCGCCCCCGCCCCCGCCCCGGAGAGGAAAGGGGACGCCCTCGCCGCCCCAGCCCCGGTCTCCAAGGAGCACCCCGCGGTGTGTGGGGGGGAGGCTCGGGACCCCTAGGGCTCAGAGAGGGTGAAGGAATTGTCAGACCAGCCCAGACACCTCTCTCCTAAGCCGGGGACGGTCCCGGACAGCGCCACTCGCTTCCTCCCCATCCCTACCTGGGCGCGGGCCGCACGTCGCTCTGCGGGAGGGATCCGGATCCTGTGCGCAGTTGGATAGGTACCCTCGCAGCCTCCGTGCCTCAGCTCGGAAACCAGCTGAGCTGAGGGCCCTTTGGAGAAATGGGAGCGCCCATTCCTCCAGTGCCGAGGTCTTCCCGGGGCCAGACACACCCCCTGCCTACCTCCACCTCAGAGCCCGCCCCCCTCTCCTGCCTACCACTCCGGATGTCATCCCCCAAGCCCTCTAAGAATTAACCCCACCTCTCACCATCCTTGTACTTTGCTCTTCCCTCTGCCCCTCCAGGCAAGGCACCCCCTCCTCCCACAGCCTCTGTACAGCTTGTGACCTGCGAGTGCAGAGCGCATGTCCCCAGCCACGGGGTTCTGAGGTGAGTAGGCCCCTTGTCTGCACTCAGGAAAGCTGCCCTCCAGAGAACCCCTTCACAGCTACTCCTGCTGCTTTGGGGGCTGTATCCCCCCTCCTCCAGCCCTGGCAACAATTCCCACATCCTGAGTTTAAATCCTGTCCTTTCTCCATCTCTAGAATGTGGGCCTTATTGTATCCTACATTACAAGCAGAAGTTCAAGAGGGTCGAATGATATTTCCCACATTTAAGAGCTTGTGAGTGGAGAATTTGGACTTGACTTGATTCTCATTCATCCATTTCACAAATATTTTTCAAGTACTAGTTTTGGACCCAGCATTCTTTCAGACACCAGGGTTGTAAGCATGGTCAAGACATAATGACATGACACATAAGTTAGTTCTGAAGTGTCTAGATAAGCAATTGGAGGAAAGGTTGAGACAGTGTCCGTAAGAGAGATGGGCCCTTCAGATTGTGGTCCAGGTGGGGCCACAAGCCTCTGTTGCTTTGAATAGAGTGAGAGGGTCTGACTTCCATGCATATGCAACAACTCACTGGAACGGGATGTCAAGAAAAGGGAGGCAGGTTGGATCTGGTTTCTGGACATCCTTAGAAGATGGAGCTTGCAGCATGTGCCACTTCCTGGACAGCTCCTTCCACTGTGTTCCCTCTGTCTGTAATTCAGACTCTCCTGACTGCCCAGGACTCAGAACAAAGCTCCCTCTCCAGATCCCTAGACCAACCTCTCAGGCCCTCAGAGTCTAGCCTTCATCTCTTATGCTTGGAGGAAAGGGGAGGTATACATGGAAGGAACTAGGGAGCCAGACTAGGGTGGGGTGGGGACAGCTGGGCCCTCAGGAACACCGGCTCCACTGTGTGCCTTGGCTCCGGTGCTGGGACCCCCAGTGGAGGCGTGAGAGACGCCAGACGCACGTGGGTGGTTCCCAGCTGCCTCCTTCAGGAAGACCTGCAGGCTGGTGAAGAGTAGAGAGCTGCTCAGCCAGCACCCCAGACCCCTCAAATGACAACTTCCCTCCCCTCTCCCTTCTGGGACATGCTTGGAACAGGGAGAATAGTCATCCCTAGAGGCTTTCCCTTTGCCTCCTCACTTCTCCACTGTCCTGCCTGAAGCTGGAATTTCTCAGCCTGGCTTGATTCCTTTTCTCCATCATTAGGCAGGAGAGGGTCTCAGTGGACCCCTACTTCCTGCCTCCTCCAGACTGACTCATGGCTCAGACTGAGGCTCGGTTGGCACCAATGCTTTTCTGCAAGGGTGACTCTGGAACCTGCCCTCGGTACCCCTGTCTACATCCTGTCTTCACAGTAAGGTGCTTCTCAAGGACAGACTGTCTTTTTGTCCTGGGCACCTTTGCCTGGCCCTGCACATTAATGAGTTGGGTGCATCTGGGAGCAGAGCTTGACCCTCACAGGCTCTGCTGGCTGCTCACATCTAGCCTCCTAGGATCCCTAGAAGCAATGAGAGGGCCCTTGAAAAGAAGAGGTCTAGGGACGCTATACCAAGGCCCTGGCTCCAGGACCAGTGCCCTGCAATACAGCTTTTGAAAAGGCAGCCAAAGGGTTGCTGCTCAGGAAGCCTGTATCCCTGAATTAAGTCTCCTCCCCTTGAGGAGTAGAGTATGGGCAGGTGACATGGCATAGACAGATGAGACACCAGTGACCCTGAAGCCTCAGATTTGCCTTCTTTAGGGCCTGTTTTGTTGCTAATTCCTGTCCTCTCCCACCTCAGAAGGAGGAATCCAGGAGAAAGGGAAAAGGCACAGCCTGGGACAGAAGTGGGGGCTGGAGAGTGAGGGAACAGATTAGCAAGCAAAGTCCATGGAAAAATGAGCAAGCCTCTTGAGTCAAAAAGGGAGGCAAGAGCTTCAGAAACCAGGGTGGCTAATCTCTTCTACCACCGAAGACACCCAAGCTGTTGGCAACGCAGAAAAAAGTACTTGGGGACAAAAAGAGAAGGACCGCTTATCTCCTGAGTATGTACTGTATGCAGAGTACCCTACCTGGGCCACCTCATTTCATGATCCATAGTCCTGAGAATCTTCAATATGCTGCCATTCTACAGATGTGGAGATTGAGGCTTAGAGAGTTGAAGTCTCCACCCCAAGGTACATCAGCAATAAAGCAAATTTGAGCCTACTCTATGATTCAGGAGCCAGAGGCCCCACTCCAAAAGCCTCTCACTGAGGGCAGGGGTGGCCCCTCCCAAGCCCCCTTAGAAGCCCAACCCAATCCCTACTCCAAGTCTCTCGAGTCCCCAATGGTTTAGAAAATCCTGCTGGGAGCAGATGGTGGGGACAGACGGAGGGGAAAGCATCTCGGGGGCTAAATTACACAAACAAACATTGATAAAGTGATTAAAACCTCAAGCCCTATTCCAGAAAGCCCTGCTCACCCAGTTTGGAACACAGCGAGTGGAGAGATGGGGTCTGGGGGGGGTCTCCCTTATGCCCTGTGTCTCAACCTCACCAATTCTAGCTTCTGCCAACCTCCCTCACTGCCAGGGACCACCCCCGGACCAGAGCCCCGGGTGGCACTGCTGCCAGGAGCACAGCCCGGGAGGGGGCGGGGCAACCTGGCTGTTCCCCAAGGAGCTGGCCATAAAGAGGGAATGGCTAGGGAGG